TTTAATCGCAGTTCTTTTTCATCCCACCAGAAAAAGCAGGCTGGAGTATGTAAAACAAGCCAGCAAGAAAGAGTACTCTCAGATGATCAAAGCGCAGACAACTCAGAAGTTGAAGTAAGGCCACCGAACGGGAGAAAACTGGATACTGCAAAAAAACAAGGCTCTCAAAAAAAGGTGAATTTTCTGATTTTTACTTTTAGCATTGCGGATGTACAGTACTTTTCCATTCTGAAGCAGCCTGTTTTTCAGAACCTGATTGAAGGATTTAGTTGTAGGGAAGAGTTATGTCCTTTCATGTTGATATTTTATCCATGTTTATGCTGATATGGAAAAAGTAAATAGCAAATTCATATTCATAATAGCAAATATCAAACAAATCAAACAAATAATGGTACAGCACGGCTGTTTTGCACATGCATTTTCAAAAATGTTATTTAAATGTACAGTAAAACCTTGGATTGCGAGTAACTTGATCTGCGAGTGTTTTGCAAGACAAGCAAAAATTTGTAATAAATTTTAACTTAATAAACGAGCGAGGTCTTGTGAATGAGTATTATGTATACACCTTGCCTAGCATCACGTAATCACAACTGAGCCGATGGTTCTTCTCGCTCTCTCTCTCGCTGTGGGATTGTGGGTAATCGTTGCCCATGGTCGGTCTCAGTCGGCATGCCTCACTCGTATAGTTAAAATTTAGTAGAGAAGCACCACTTGAATAAGGGCGTAGCAGTGCAAGCGACAAATCTGTATAATGACAATCTAATGTCCACATTTCCGCAAAATCGAAAAGGAGGCAAAAGCAACTGTCATTGGATAGGTTCCTTGTTAAAGACACACAAAAAGAAAGAGATTCCAGTGAGCCAACAGATAGCAGTGATTCCGTTAGTTATAGTGAAAGTCGTCCTACAAAATAACCCTAGTCTTCTCTCTCTCGTCTCCCTCACACCATGCACGATTCTTTTCATAGGTAAAGTGCAGGTTAATTTGTTTTATGTATTTTTACTTTATATTTTGTATTAATTTTTTTATGAATATTTTTGGTTTGTGGAACGAATCATCTGAGTTTCCATTATTTCTAATGGGAAAATTTGCTTTGATATACGAGTGCTTTGGATTCGGTTTTGGATTGCACGTTTCTGGAACTAATTATGCTCACCAAAATACCACTGTATTCCAAAAGTATTCTCAATACAGTGCTTTCCAAAACATAAAATGGCTAGCTAGCATTTTAGCTCCCCTGCTTCCTTTGCTGGTTTATGCTGCTCATCAGCTTTTAAAACACAACACATACTGGTTTATGCAGGTGGAATTAAATTTTTTTCGTAATTTTCTACAATGATTTATTTTCCCATGGTGAAAACTGGAAAAATATTGGTTATTTTGGTATGCCTACTTGGACTTTTTTTGTGAATTTGTTGTGAATTTCACAAAGAGTTAAAAAGATTTAATCGCAGTTCTTTTTCATCCCACCAGAAAAAGCAGGCTGGAGTATGTAAAACAAGCCGACAAGAAAGAGTACTCTCAGATGATCAAAGCGCAGACAACTCAGAAGTTGAAGTAAGGCCACCGAACGGGAGAAAACT